GTTCTCGATCCCTTGCTATCTTTCTTCTCCTTCTGGTTCCACTATGATGTGGATGTTGTAATGCTTCATGTTGTTCCAGAGGTCCTTTAAATTATCCTCAAGTTTTTTTTCCTTCATTTTCCTTCTCTGATTGGGTGTTTTCTGCTACCTTGTCTTTCAAATCACTGATTTGATCCTCTGCATCACCTAATCTGCTGCTCATGACTTCTATTGTGTTCTTAATTTCAGATACTGTTCTTCATTTCTGAGTGGTTCTTTTATGTGGTTTCTATGTCCCTTTATATGCTTACTATATCTTTAAGTTGTTACTTGGTTCATCTAAGTTCCTTGATCATCCTTATAACCATTGTTTTGAACTTTGTATCTGGTAGATTGCTTGTCTCTATTTCATTTAATTCTTCTGGAGATTTCTCCTGTTCTTTCATTTGGAGCATGTTCCTTTTTCTACCCATTTTGGCTGCCCCTCTGTGTTTCTGTGTATTAGGTAGATCTTCTATGCATCCCAGTCTTGATAGGATGGCCTTATGTAGTAGTTCCCTGGTGTGGCTCAATGACATAGTCTCCTTGATCACCTAAGTTAGGTGCTCCAGGACTGTCCCTTGCATGGGTTACATGAGTCCTCCTGCTGTAGTTCAGTTTTGATTGCTGTTGGCCTGTCCCATCCCTCAGGCTGGCTGAGTATAAGGACTGACCCCAACCACAGTGTATAGGCTTCTGTGCAAAAGCTGACCTCATCAAGTGGAATTAACCCCAGCAAGATCTCTTGCCTGCAAAGATCTCCCTTTGAGTGTTCACTTGTTAAGCTAATTGTCATGCTCTAATGTGGTCTGAAGTGCTGCACTGGGTGTGTTGGTTCTGGGATGTCTTAGAAGGGATTCCAGTGCACGTCAGTGTCAGATGCTGCCTGTGACTGGCCCTAGGCTTGGAGCTACCACGCATACCATAGTTTGTGGCTCCCTCTGCTGGGCCTGGGTGCACATGGAAGCAAGCCAAGCTGCATACCAATGTTGACTCCCACCAGTACCAAGCCTGGAGGCAGGTCAGCAAATGGGCCAAGACACACAGAGATAAGCCTCCACCTCTAGGTCACCTGTTAGGCTTAGTCACTGAGAGACCCTCTGGCAGAATGCAAGTTGCATGAGGTAGGTTCTCAGTGAATCACCAGGTAGGAACAATTGATGTTCACCAGGTTGACATAGATTCTACCTTGGTGCCAGTGCTGGGTCTGAGGCCGCTCGGCCGAAGTCCCAGAGTATGCTAAGGCCAGTTGCCACCCACCTGAAGCCTGGGGACCTTTGTAGTTTTGGGGAGTTTTCAGGGTAAGGCCAGTAGAGATCATGAAGCTAAACAGATCAAGATTTGGCCACGTGGAGGAGGAGCTCTGCACAGGAATGGTAGTGCCAGTCAGGGTATGTGGCAGGCGGTGGGTAGGTGGGGGAATGAACCTCCTCAAGAGCCCTCCATTAAAGTCTGTACCACAGGCATAGGCTGGCTTCAGCCAGCAAACTCCTCTGCAGGGAACAAGCATGGCAGGGCAGGGCCACAGGCAGTTGGGAAGGTGAAGCTAGTGCATCTACCCAGGCTGATGCACATGGAGGTGGAGTGCTCGACCCAGGAAAGATGGCACCTGTAAGCCATGTGGGAGAGGGACTCAGCACAGGGACAATGGTGGCTGTCTCTCTAGCCCTCTCCTCAAACCAAATAACCCAGTCTCTCCTTGAGTGACTCCAGTCTGCTTTGAGCCATCTTCTGTCTGCTGGAACACATGGTGAGAGGCTGTGAATGAGATTTTGTGCCCTGGCTTTTTAAGAGGGTGACTGGGTTTCTAGCAGACTCCCATCTCACCCTGGCAAATGAAATCCCTGCTGATTTTCACATTCAGATGTTATGTGGGACTCCTCTTTCCAGCACTAGTTCTCCTGCTGGGAAGCCCAGAGTGAGTTTGAGACCCACCACTCCTCAGGGGGACCTTTGCAGATGAGATATCCCTCTCAATTCACAACCACTGCATGTGGGTGCTCTGCCCTTCCTACCAGTCTAGATGAGGCTTCATCTGTAAATCCCTGGTTATGAGACTCCTCTTCAGCTAGTCTTCAGTTGGTTATTCAGGTTGATTGCTCTATATTTTAGTTTTAATTCCAGTTTGGTTCTGGGAGGAGGTGAGTGTACCTGCTCTGCTGCAATCTTGGATCTCCAGAGTGATAATTAAAATGTCTTGATGGCATGTAGCTAATCAAGCACAGAGTGTTTAGGATTAGAATAAATGGGTTATCTAATTTCAGGGAGAGTGAAATGTGTTTTCATTTATACAAGGAATATATGAGAGCAGGTATGAATAATTTTTCAAATGTAACTGTGGGGAAAAGATTTATGTATAGATGGTGGGTCATCAAAGTGGCAGGCTATAGTAGATATTCTTTTTGCTTAATTGTTACTACTTGGGGGAAAGGCCCAAGATCTACCTCACTGCAGAAGCCAAAGTGGAGCAGATAATCCCTCTCCCTATCTCTTGGGAAACAGAATATGAGCACATGCCTTAAATATAGCCAATCAATTGTTCAGATGCATATTTTTGACCCTTAGGGAATGAAGCAAAGATCATTACTAATGAAAGATTATTTTCATTACTTAGGAAGGGACTAAAAATCCATGACAGAGCCATAAGTGTCCAGTGGTAAAGTCCAACATTGTAGTGTCTAGCTGTGAGTGGCAGCAGAGACATATAAAGCAAAGCATGAGTTGAAACCTTGCTCTCCTCACCTCCCTCGGTTCCTGTCTAAGCCTTGTCCTTCAGCCTGCCTAACAATCCTTTTGGTTTCTCAGTATCCTTCCAATAAGTTCTTCCACTAATTAAAGATGATTTCTATGAATTTATTCAAGAACAGTGACTAGTACAGAGACATAAATGCCCTTTAGGATACTCAGTGCCATTAAGGACAGAGAACAATTCACTGCCCATGTATGTACTACTTCTTGCAGCAGACTGGAAGTAAACTATAATGCAGGTGTGGGGAACATCTGGCCCGCGGGCCATATATGGCTGTGATTTCATTTGGTCTGGCCCTGCCAAGGCAACCACAAATGGGACTCAAAATTCAATAAACCTAAGAGCTTTTTTCATAGCTAATTTTTAAGTTGATAATTTTGTATGGCCCATGAATGATGTTATAAATATACAAATGACCCTTGGCAGAAAAAGGGTTCCCCACCACTGCTATAATGGAAGACTCTGGCTCAAAACTAGAATATTTACTTCTTTCATTAATATGTTAGCTTGAGTCAACTGACCCTAATATTCTCGGGCTGTATTAAAAGGCACAGTCATATCTGTTTCTCTCTAGCTGGCTATTCTTAATGAACGTTAAAAGGTTACATTCTATTTTTCTCCTTTACTGAATGTACTAGGGTGATGCTGGTTAACAAAATTATACAGTTTTCAGGTACACAATTTCACAACTTATCATCTGCACACTGTACTGTGTGTTCATCACCCCAAGTCAAGTCTCATATATCACCATTTATCCCTCCATACCCTCCTCCACCTCCCTCTACTCCCCTCCCCCCGGCAATCACACTGTTGTCTCTGTTCATCAGTTTTTTATCTGTCTCTTTTTTTTTTTACTCAATCCCCCCACACCATCACCCAGCCCCCAACCATTCCCCCTGACAGCTGTCAGCCTGCTCTCTATCTATGAGTCTGTCTCTATTTTGCTTGTTAGTTCAACTGCATTAAAAGGCACAGTAATGTCTATCTCTCTACCTGGGTGTTCTTAGCTAAATTTATTATTTATTTATTTATTTATTTATTTATTTATTTATTTATTTTAAGCCTCACTTGAGGATTTTTTTCCATTTTAGAGAGAGAGAGAGAGGAACATTTATGTGAGAGAGAAACATTGATTGGTTGCCTCCTATAAGCACCCCGACCAGGGATCGAACCTGCAACCTAGGTATGTGCCCTGACTGGGAACTGAATCAGCAAACTTTTGGTGTAGGGACAATACTCCAACCAACTGAACCAACTGGCAAAGGCTTAGCTAGTTTTAAAAGGTTACCTTCTAAATCCTTATTTAACTTGTCTCATATTTTTAAAATGCTTAGGCTTTATAATTCTACCAATAATACCACAGAAACTTTTTCTAGAGCACTCGTTGAGCCTTACAGAACGCTGACCCCTTAACGTCTATAAATAATAGAGAACTTTGGTGGGAAATGGATATGTTCAGTAAGAATGTATTAGAATCACAGAAATTTTTAACCAGAAGGACCAAGTGATCTGACATATTCAGTCCTAAGCTGTATCCTGTTTGTCTGAAACTCTTCATGTTAAATGGGATTTCATATGATTGTTAAAGTCATTAAGAAAAGCATATAACTTTTATGTAACTGAGTATAGTCACCAACACCTAGGAACCTGTTTGGGGAATATTTTTTTCTTTGATATTTACCTATATCACACCTGTTACATTTCCTTTTATATTTACATAGTGTTAAAGGTAGTTCCTCTCCAAAGAATATATTAGCTCCTTGTACACTTAAAGGTAACTATTTAGCCCGCCGCATTTCTTTTCACACTCAGCCACACTAAGTTCCTTTAGCATTTCCTGGAGTCTGCTCTCTAGTCCCTTTCTCATATTCTCTAAACCTAGTACACATTTGCCAAATCTTCCAAATTGCAGAACTTAGTATATCCTGAAGGCAAATGCAACGTGAAAGAAGAGACCAATGTGGGGCTTAGGGAAAATATGCCCTGGAGAACAGGTTAAAAAGGAACCAGTGGCGTGCAGTATGGAGTGGGAACCATACTTACCGAGTGCAAGGTGGAAGAAACACTCTGTGGAAAATGAGATAAAAGTGGTTTGCTTCAGTGTTTCTTTATTTTTTAACCTATCACCAATATCCTTTAAGAGGGCCCAATAACAAATTATTAGATTTCGCTCTACAAAACAGTTTTTACGTTGCCCCAGTACTTGCTGAAGCTGCCAAGCTAAGGAGGGTACCTGAAGGGCACTTCTTCCTGTGGGACAGCCACATAGTAGCGGATAAAGAACCTCTCAGAGTCTTCTCGCTCATCTTCTGTAACAACACTGCCATTAAGCTTGGAAACTGATGGCAATCTGTGAGTAAAACCAAAATAAAGCCATTTTAAGATACTAAAAATATTTGGCTTTAGAAATAAAATTATCGATTTCAGGTCCAGTCTTATTCTCTTGAAAGGAGCATTGGTGCAGCTCTGCTTGTATACAAACTACTGACATAAACTAAAGTGATTTAATATAAAAGGACTGAAAATATTTAAAGTTTCATTTTTGGATAAGGCACTGACCTTTTATAATCACAACTCACTTTTCAAAGTAACATTCTAGGCAGCATTTCCCAACCTGAACACAGTGCAAGCCACATAGGCAATTTTAAATTCTCTAGCAGCCATATTTTAAAAAGCAAAAACAGATGTAATTAATTTTAATAATATATTTTATTTAACCCAATATAGGCAAGATGTACTCATTTCAATGTGTAATCAACACTAAAACATAACTCATAAGATCCTTTACATTCTCTTTTGCATATAAAGCATTTGAAATCCAGTGTATATTTTACACATACAACACATTTCAATTCAAACTAGCCAGATCTGAAGTGCTTAAAAGTCACACATGGCTACTGGCACCGAACTGGACAGCCTAAGTCTACAGAGTAGTCAGCACAATTTGGTTATATACTTCAGGAATTTATTACATTTACAAAAGAACTATGTAAAAAATAAAATACAAGACCTACTGCAAGACTTATTCTCCTTAGAAGAACAGTGTGCTGAAATCTATCTCCACAGTGAGATATTAGTGTGTGTCAACAGCGGGCAGCGTGGAGGTCTGCTCAACGTTGGTTGGTCAGAAAGATCAAAACCCTGTTTAAAGAACCCCCCTTCTTTAGAGAACCTTAAAGCCTACTGTTCCCCTTCCAAAACTACTGTGCATAGCACACAAAGGGAACACGTCATGGCCCCTACATCTGAGCTGAACAGTACACTGCTGCTAAGGGCACTGCTGAAATACGCCCTCCTGGGTCATGTCAGCAGTCCACGGGAGTCGGACGGGAAAGGCGGGGCTCAAAGGGAGAAGGTAACAGCATAGGAGTCACATCTAAGTCGGCCTGTATAGTAATAAGAACATACAGATGCTGTTCTCAAGTCGGCACGAATGGAACAGCCCAACTTTCAGGTACTTACGCCTTGAATGCCCACTGTGCTACCAGAGAAAACACGTGCAGCTCCCTGCACCTACTCTCACTGCATGACCCAAACAGAACTTCAGACGGCACAAATGTCAAAGAGTGTAAATCAGAAGAGACGGGTGAGGGAATTCGGCACGGTGCTGGCAGGCCAGCGACATTTCACATTTTCCTCGTCATGTTGCATTTCTTTCCTCCCAGGATTTCAAGCCACACAAGCAACTCCTTCAACCAGTCCGTTCACAAGTTGGATCAACTTATAAAGCACTCCCTCCTAAATAGTGTATCATTCCCTTCATGAAATAACAAGACCCCAAGAGGGAGGGACGCAGAGGAACCGGACAACAGACCTGGCTATTACCAACTTCCGTCGCTCCTCAGTGGTATATGGCTGCAGAAGAGGAATTCCTAACAATCTCACTTCTTCAAGTTTAGGGAATGAATTTAGTTTGTCAATGTCTTCCCAGGACTGCAAACCTAATTTGAGAAACACATTGTTTAAATTAATCCTGGAAAGTACACAAATAAGAAGATAAACATAGAAAAAAATTTCAATTAATAATATGTGAAATGTTAAAATAATTGTAAACTAGTTAGAGATCCTGACTTTTTTAATCCAAGGAAAGAATGGAATACATTTTAACAGCATAAAAGTTTCCCTATAGTTGCTCCTACCCCTGTGACTCCAGTGGTCAAGAGACCTCTACTCTTCAACATCCATTCATCTACTAACTCTCCACCCAAAGGCTTGTAAGCTGGTGATTCAATAAACAGGATGTGTCATGATTACAGAAAATGGTGATATGATCAACTCTTTCATCATAACTATTGGTCAGAGTTGATACTCTCAGACTCAAATTTTTACCTAACAAATTTTAAAATGAGGCAAGGTCCACAGAACCAGAAACTAAATATTACCTCTCTTTCCTACTGTCCTCATTTTGGGGACAGGGAAAACAGATTCAAAATTTAAAGCAAACAAAAACAAAAAACTGAACCTTTGGGTGAGAACATGCAACAAATTAAGTTCATTTAGTCCTAAAACGAAACCCTTCCTATGGCTGTAAGCAAATGTATCATCCAAGTCAATACTTGGCACTGGTAGGAAAAATGTCCCTGTAACAATGAAGCTGGTCAGTTTTACAACACACTAAATCCATGCTGGACATCGCAGTCCCTCCCTATTTCTATCCACCGTCAGCAGTGGTGAAGGCAGAGGAGCAGTTTTTGAGGACTCAGGTGCACGGCTATCCCGAGTCACCCCTGTCCTCTTCCCTTCTGCTGGCACTTCCATTTAGAAGGAAGACTAGAGTTAGCTCTAGGGGTGTCGAGTTATGAAACAAACAGCTTTGTTATGCAAAATAGTAGTTTTTAAAACTTAGTTCCCACCCTTATAACCTCTATGGTGAATTCAACTGTTTATATGTTTTTCAGTTATAGGTTAGCTACTTTTAGTTGTGTAGTTGTTTTAAGAAATAGGCTGAAAGACAATGTCATGAAAATGATTAAAACAGCCATGGACTGGGAGAATATACATGCTAAAGACACATCTGATAAAGGATTGTTATCCAAAATACACACTCTTAAAACTCCACAATAAGAAAATGAACAACCTGATTAAAAAATGGGCAAAAGACCTGAACAGACACCTCACCAAAGGAAATATATAGATGGCAAGTAAGTATATGAAAGGATATTCAACATCATATGTCATTAGGGAATTGCAAATTAAAACAAGACACCATTACACATCTATCAGAATGGCCAAAATCCAAAACCTCCACAGCACCAATGCTGAGGAGGATGTGAAGAAACGAACTCGCATTCATTGCAGGTGTAAAATGCTACTTTGAAAGACAGTCTGTCAGTTTCTTACAAAACTAAACATATTCTTACCATATGAGTTAGCAATTACCCTCCTTGGTATTTGCCCAAATGAAATGAAAATTTGTATGTACACAAAAGCCTACACACAGAGGTTTATAGCAGCTTTATTCATAACTTGGAAGCAACCAAGATGTCCTTCAGTTTGTGAGTGGATAAATAAACGGTGGAACATCCAGACAACAGACTGGCACTAGTTGAACCTTACAAAATGTTAAGCGCTAAAAATAAATAAGCTATCACCCCATAAAAAGACAGGAAGGAAACTTACATGTATATTATCAAGTAAAATACATTAACCTGAAAAGGCTACATATTGTATGATCCCAACTATATGACATTTGGAAAAGGCAAAACTCTGGAGACTAGGAAAGGTCAGTGGTTGCCAGGGGCTGGGGAAGGAGGGTAAATAGGCCGAGCACAGAGGATTGTTAGAGCAGTGAAACTATTAGGCATTACACTACAGCAGTAGACACATGTCCTTATAAATTTTCCAAACCCAGAGAATGTACACCACCAAGAATGAACCCTAATGTAAACTGTGGGCTTCAGGGTGATGATGATGTGTCAATGTAGGGTCCATTGTAACAAATGTATCATTTTGGTGTTGGGATGCTGACAGTGGGGGAGGTTGTGCATGTGTGAACGCAGGGAGTATGTGGAAACTTTCTGTACTTTATGCTCAGTTTTGCTGTGAATCTAAAACTGCTCTAAAAAATAAAGTTAATTTTTAAAAATACGCTAAAAATATTCACTCCTGTGATACACAGAATTAGTTGGCAACAGACTGGCAATCAACTATATGAAAGTACTAGAAAGGAGAGCATTTGAAAAGCATAGCAGGTTGGGATTCCCTAACCCAAATCCAGACAAAATGGTGTAGTTTGCAATTCCTTATATTCTTTTTACTCTGTCTTTTATTGTACGATTCATCAATTTCACTCCTTTCACAGCATGACCCCTTTAATATAGAAAATGTAAATAGCAAATATAATGCCATGCCACTTGATTTAGGAAAATGAATGCCTTAAATTTAGCTAATCCACAGCCATCTGAATGTCACCCTTGAAAATGTGTTCTCTAAGAAGGCAGGGCCTACTGAAAGAAACACACTTTCACTGCATTTCTGTATAAGCTCAGATCAGTTCGCATCTAGAATGAGAACAAACCAGTACCTCACCTGACTTATGGAGGCTGATGGATCGCAGGTTAGGAAACAACCCGGCCAGTGAATCATCGGGCTCCTCAATAGCATTCAAGTGATTGTTGGCCAGGACGAGGGTATCCAGGGAAGGAAACATAGCTCCTAACTTCCGTATTTCAGTCCAGTCTTGGAGGTTATTGTCTGTAATGTGTAGGAGCTTCAGAGAGTGACAGCAAATAGAAGGACAGGACACCGTTTCATAGTCATTAAGGCACAGGAAGAGCTCCTCCAAACTGCAGAGAAAAACAGAAATATTTCATTGTTTAAAGGAGTTAATTTTCTACTTTGCACCTATTTTCATTCATTCAAGAAATAAATAAGTGCCTATTATTTGTGAGACTCTGCTAGGTGTTGTAGAGAAAATATAAAGATGTCTTCCTGAAGCTTAAAATATAGCAGAGAAAGATAAAACCCAGTACTAAATTAATTTTGTCCTTAATTAAGCAGCGCTAATTGAAAGTACACTAGTACTTCATACAGGAATGGAATTAAAATTGTAGTTAGAATAATCAAGAAAGGGGCAGACTTACACAAGTTGAGAGAAGATGGAAGAAAATGCAAGAAACAACATAAACAAATAACTTAGATCAGAAACAATAATAACTACCACTTACTGAATTCCTGCCCTGTGTTAGACCCTGTGCCAGGTGCTGTAGAGACTCTACTTCTGTTTCTGTAAGGCAGAGCTTACTGTGCCCATTTTATAAACAAGGAAATAGAGGAAAAGTTAATTAGCCTATCGAAGGTCCTAGGGTTAGAAAGGGGAACTGGGATTTAAAGCTCATTCTGTGCCATGCTGGATGCAGGCGTGAGACCACCAATCTCATCAGAGTGACAGTGAGAAACTAACATGGAATAAGTGGGGTGAGACAAAATTCTGAAAGGCTTTGATAATTTTCATATTTATACAGTCAAAAAATTTATAGCTTCATATATTCCTTTAAACTACTTCCTTTGAATATTTATGCATATTCAAAGATATATACAAACAAACGTAAGCATCTCTAAACTGACGAAAGTATAATTTCTTGCTTAAATTATTGACAAGAACACCAGGTTCATTTCCAATGAAGCCAGCTATGTACTGGATCATCTGAGTGTTAATATATTTTAGAGATACTGTGATTATTTTTTTCATTCTAAAGAAAAAGGTTGAGGCAAAATTCTGAAATCAGGTAATCAGAAGACTAAAATGGAGACAGGTCGGGTTGATCTAGAAATGATAATTGCTTCTCAGGGCTATTTTCTAGCCAAAGAATGACATATCCTATATCCTGGTGTTACTTCACACTGAACAAGCATTCCAATAAAAATGCTACTTAATTCCACTCACACCCTCATTGTAATTGCTTCATTTTTATAACCGTTTTCCACTGTGTCGGCAGTTCTAGTATTTCTGAGTGGTTCTATGTACTAACACAGATGACGACAGCCCCTCTCCACCATGTTCTCTGTGCTTGCTTACTCTGGTAACTCCTGCAGTATCGTGTGGACTGTCTCCCAAGAAGCTTTGCTGTTATTGAGGACAAGTTTGCGAACTCCAGAGAAGGACCCAGCACATGTTCTTTCTAAAACCGACAAATTCAGAGGGTTGGAACTCAGGTTTAGAAACTCCAACTGGGGAACATTTGACACAATTTTACTGACCTATGGAGAAAAAAATAAAAGCATATCAGGCAGTAATCAGGACTTTTAAATAGAAATAATGCTCAAAAAAAGCCTAAGTAAGTGGGTTTCCAGGCAAAGGGCCATTCAGATTGGGGTGTTCTATTTAGTGACAGTACCCAGAGTAGCATAAATAATTTCAACAAATCTTGGAAAATAACTTAATCTCCTTCTATGAAACAGTGTCAGAATGGAAAAGTAAATGGTACAAACAAACAGATTTCCCATGTTGCCTTTGGCAAGGTTTTTGATTCTGTTCTATATGATATTCTTTTTGATAAATGGAGAAGACAGTTTAGATGACATTTTAGGCTACAAGTTTCTAAAGAGCTCAGATTGGGTCCTTTTTGTAATCCTCTTTGAATATCTCCTTCCTTCTTCCATCCTCATTAAAACAATAAGGCTAATTAAAACTTTATTAATGACCACAAAGTAACAATTCAGGTGTTCAAAATTGACTACACAGCCATAATCACTTAGAAATCAATTTCAGCTTGGTTCAAAGAGGTGCTAAACTTTAAAACACATTGACTAAAAATATAAGAAGGCATCAATAACTACATAATAAAAGAGAAAACATGATCACAAATTTAATGATTTAGCTAGCAACCTGGTAGACAAAACATTTTTAAAAAGGAACTGAGCACTGCTGACCTTAACTATTTGCTTTGCGTAGTTCTAGACTCTTTGACGCAGCTTATCTCACTACATGCTCAAAACAGCCTGCAAGATGACTAATACTATTTTCAGTTTAACAAATTAAGAAAATGAGTCTCAGAGATGTTAAATAATTAACATCTTACATTAAATAAGGTCTCAGAGTCCCAAAGCCAAGTCTAGAATTTAAAAATCAGAGCCATGGTTCTTCCCAGTATACAGTAGCCCCCTTATCTGCAGTTTTGCTGTCTAGTGTCAGTTACCCAGTCAATCATGGTCTGAAAGTATTAAATGGAAAATTCCAGAAATAAACAAGTCCTAGGTTTTAAACCAGGTACCACTGTGAGTAGCATGATGAAATCATGCTCTGCCCCACTCCTTCCCACCCAGGACACGAATCACCCCATTGTCCAGTGTATTCAGGTTGCCCTACCCATTCATTAGTCGCTTAGTAGCCATCTTAGTTATCAGATCGACTGTTGTTCAAGTCATCTTTTTACTTAATAATAAGGCCAAGGCACAAGAGTAGTGATGCTGGTAATCTGGAAATGCCAAAGAGAAGCCATACAGCATATGTATGTATAGACCAAAAACACCAATATATATAGGATTTGGTACTACCAGTGGTTTCCAGCATTCACTGGGGGTCTTGAAATTTATACCACATGGATAAGGGGGGAGGACTGTGCTACAACTAGTGAATCATAACTACAACGAGAAAAAAGGAGAAGTAAGCTCACAGTAGTGTCAGGTCAATGCTAGAAGGTTAGCACACGCCTTAAACACCAAGGAGCTAGGAAATGTGGAAAGTAAAAGCTGTGAGAAAAGGAGTAGGACAGAATAGCTAGCGTTGATTTTGGAGTCAGAAAACCTGCATTCAAACCAGGTTCCAACACTTACTAGTTGTGTGGTTTGACAAGTTCCTTACCCTTTCCACATCTCAGTTTCCTCATTGGGAACATACAGAAAATCGTACCCGTCTGTCCCACAGGACTGCTGGTAGAATTAAATGATACATGTGTAAGCACTTAACATCGCGCATGGTACACCTTTTAGAAACGTGTTTCCTTACCCAAAAGAGTGTAAACTGTGAAAGCAGGGATAGTACTTACCTAGTTCACTACTGTACAGAGGGCACTTGATGTTTGTTGAATAAATTAATGGTACAGAATCATTCAATAAATGTAACTATTACTAATATAAGTTTAGTATGAACCATTATCTCAACTCTTGCTATATGTCATACCATTTTTATTTTATCTTATTTTATTTTATTTATNTATATGTCATACCATTTTTATTTTATCTTATTTTATTTATTTTTATTTTTTTTAATATATCTTCATTGATTTCAGAGAGAGGAAAGGAGAGAGAGAGACAGACAGACAGAAATATCAATGATGAGAGAGTCATTGATCGAGCCCGCAACCTGGGCATGTGCCCTGACTGGGAATCGAACTCCGATCGCCTGGATCCCAGGTTGATGCTCAATGGCTGAGCCACGCCCGGCCGGGCTTTTTTTTTTTTTCATACCATATTTATTTTAATTAAACGTCATATGTAAAGTCATTGGTAGAATTTCAAAAATATACTGAACCCAGCATCCACCCTAAACTACTGAATCAGAAGCTTCCTGGGTAGGACAAACTTCATGGTTGCGACCTGGATGGATGCCTCTTTGTTTTCAGAGCGCCACAGGTGATGTTAAAAAGGTGTCCCGTGCCAAGCACTATCGGGGGACATAAAAAGCCATCTGCACTTTACCGCAGATTTGCTATGTATTGTACAGCTCAGGAGCTCTAAAATCAGCAAGAAGCAGATTAACTCCAAGGAGGTTCAGAGAAGCATGGCTGAGGGGAGAGCCCTCACATACACTATTTTCATCAGCCCTCCTCGCTAACCCTTGGAAGTAACACCATTTTCATCCTCACTTTCAAATGAAGTTCTTTTTGAGAAAACACACAAGGCTTCTGTTTACGACGCAAGGAATGTACACTGGGCTGCACATAGCCTCCTGCTTGATCAAGCGTTTGTGGGGCGCAGGGCTGGGATTTGGAGTTAGCGCGTGGCCATGACACAGCTAACTGTCCACGCTGGGAGCGCCCCTCCACTGCCCCCGCCCCCCGGGCACTCATGGAGTGGACGCTCCTACAGGAGAGGCTGGCCATCTGTCTCTATCTCTTTAAGGGCAAAGAAGACGGAAAAGGGCTCCGCTTCAGCTACAGCACGGAAAACAGCCCACGAGAGCACTGCCCCTGAACGAGAGGACACACCCTTACTGCCGCCACCCCTCCTATTTTATTTCTGTGACAAAAAGGAAAATACTCAAAAACTGATAATTAAGCGTTTTTGAAGCAATTTCTGGGAGAATGCCCAAGGCTAACAGACACTGACGTAATCTTTTCATAGTCTGCATCTGCACTACAGCCCAGTGAGAATAAAGGTTGGAATAAGGACTTGCTAGCCCTGGAATATCCCAGATACAGTCAGGCTATAGTCTAATAATTAAAGCAGAAAAAATAATAAATGTTAGAAATAAATAAATATTTTCTTTACAAAGCTAAAATTAGAAAGTACTTTAGGGCAACCTTAAATAAATAATAAGATTCTGGAAAATATAACATTAATTACACAGGTAATTTATGACAGAAAAATGTCCTAATAGCAAAGACTGACATTCAATAAGTTTCTAGGGCAGTATATTTACTTCTTTTTTAATTTCTAAAAAAACCCCAAGCAAACAAAAACTCCTCTAGCTGGAATGAGCTGAGCATACTCATGTGCAGAAACATAGAGATGAACTTAGATCTCCTTTTAATTCTCCACAACTCTATGATTTAATAGGCTTCTGGCTTCTAAAAAGAAATTAGTTTTAAGAAAAATGGGAAAAGCATTGTAAGACAACAATCTGTAATTTATATCCAAGCTATTCTCTACCCAACCTGAGTAGCTAATACCTCCCTCCTCTCAACTACTTGGTTTCTTTTATAAAATGGTTTTGATAAGAAAGGGAGGAAACAGGAGATACCTTGGGAAAGGTCAGACCAAAATCTAGCTAGACAAAAATTTAAGTCAAAAGCTAAAAAAATGCATCTTTTTTTTTTTTAACACAAAGGTGCCCAATTTTGGAAATATAGAGACAAATCTTTGTTTCCCCCCAAAGTATTATGCTTCCTACTCACATTTATATTAGTCTCTGGATACACAGCAGCCAGTACTTTAAACTAGAAAAGAAGTTACTCACAGCATTAGGGATCATTCAAAACACTAAAAGAACAAATGATATTACAGTATTTTGTTCCACACTGCTATATCAAATACTGGCTGAAAAAAGTTAGTTAATAGACAGAGACAAATTATCTTTTTGGAAATCAGATATATGGGCTGCAATGGGGTTGAAATGTAATGTCTTAAAGCTGTGACCTATGAGGCTTTTGCAGCCTGGCAAAGAGTTTAATCAATCCTAAAAAATCAATATTCTTTTGCTATCAGAATTTCTCCCATCTCTCTGTGTTCTGATTTATATTCTAGAAGATTGAGATCAACTACATTTAAGGCTAACGACAAAATATAAAGCAATGATGAAAACAAAAATAAATTGCAAAACAGATGCCTGAATAGTAGTAGCAGCAAACATTTATTTGAAAACAAACTACAGAGTGCGTACATCTGGGATACAGATACACAAACTCAGCAGAGTGCAGACAGACACGGGCCCTCTGGCTATCCCCATCATCATGGTCTGAAAACAGTTAATGCAGATCTCCGTCAAGGCAGAGAAAAGGCTGAAGTATTAGTGCAAACTGTGTTCCGATCCGTACTGACGTAAGTCATTCTTCTGGGGCAGCAACGTCATCACTATTAAATTGTTCCCACAAGTTAGCAAAACCCTATGTTTGTGGTCAAAGCCTAGTCAAAGCAGCAAGCACAGCCCCTTCGTGCAATGTTACACTCCCAGAAAGCAAGTTTAGGAGAACCAGCCTGTGAGTACAGGAACGGAGATGATTCAGAGGAAGATCTGGTTTGACTTGTCACCCACACAGGTCAAAAATCTCACCGCGGTTCAGCAGTAGGATGCTGTGGGGGTCGTGGAGGCTACCAAGGGAGTTCTTTTTGCTTCTGTGCAGTGTGGACAGAGCACGCATGCCAATTAAGCACTCAAAGGACAAGAAGGCACAGGTTGTCATTTGTTAAAGAATGAGCTACGCTAGCTGTTTAAATAAGTATATCAATAAATAAATACAGGTACAAAGAGAGATTTTTTTTCTTGGAACAGCCCAATACATCTGCATTATTAGCAAGTCACTTAGAAATCAAGCGGCATGCCTCTCTCTCAAAGCACTCTGGCAAACATCTCAGTAGGAACAGTACTGTAACTGGGGCACAGTCACCAGATCAAAGACTATTAAATAAATAAATATGAGAAAAGCTGAAGAAAACTGGGTTATAGACAGGCTTTTCGTAAAGAAGAAAGCTATCTTACAATTTGTATAGCATTTAACATCTACAAAGTGCCTCAATGATTTATTAGCAGCCCTGTCTTTAAATGAGCAAACTTAAGCATCAAAAAATTAAGGAAATTTCTTAAGATCACAAGAAAAGCTGGAGCAGTGGTCTTTATCAATCCTTAGGATATAATCATTTATTCATTAGCAAAATCAACAAACATTTGAGCACCTACTATGCTGGGTGCTGATGATAAAAAGACAAAAATCTCTACTTTGAAGAAGCACAGTCTAGTAGGAAAATATCAAGGTAGCAAGTGGTTGCAATACATTGTGACCAACCCTTTCACAGCAGCCTGATCCAGGCACTGGGGTAATCCAACTGCCTGAGGGACAGCCAGGGAAAGCTTCTCAGAGGAACAGCAACCTTGGCCAGTCTTGAAAGAGACATAGGAAGAGAGCAATCTATTCAGAATGAAATGAAAGCAAGGAAGCCTTTCATGTCAAGAGTTTATCATGCGCTGTAAGCAGCAGCACTGTGACTAAAGATGAAGATAAAGCTCTAGACATAGCACAGGGCCCTGTGATGGAGGGCCACACTTAGAGAATTCACTTTAGTTTCCAGGCAGTAACAAACAACTACAGGACTTCAAACAAGAGAGTGTCATGACCTATTTCACTTATTCACTGCAGAAGATAGCTTAGAGGAAGCAGTTAACTTAGAGAAGGTAGAATTAAACTGAGGCTGGATAACCCATTAGCAAGCTTTTCCAAGTAAGAAATAAGAGCCTAAGTTAAGGTAGGAGAACAAATCAAGTAGAAAAGACTTTTTTCCTTATTCTAAAGGGTAGTTTCTATTAGGTAATGTTATAATCCGGTAGGTAATGATATGTATAATCATGAGAAAGAATTTATAATCTGTGTACTCTGAGATCAAAAGGCATCAGTTATGTCAAACCACAGAGAATAAAATTGTAAAAAGTTCTAAAGTATTTGGAATAAATTTCAGTAACAAGAATATTTTTATAACCTTAGTTTCAACCTCAAGCAATTGTTATGTCAGTGTATAGTAATAAATGTGGAGGGAGCAGGGGAGACAAAGTGCAGGCTATGTAAACTAGTGACACAGTAGAAAGCAATGCACTGCTAGCAGCCTAAGCTTCTCTATCTCATTAACCTTTGGGTGCCTGGAATAAAGTTCCTCAGTGTTTTTCACAATAGTAAAAAAAAAAGGAGCAATAACCAAATTAACTGAAAAATTATCAACAGAACAGTTCAATCAGTTATTTATCCTGAGACATACAGACCACAAGAATCTCAATTGACCGAATTCCACAGAACACTTAATAACATAAACAATAAGAGTAATTATTGCTACATTTCACCAAAATGCAGCTATATAAATTTTACCTCATGCCAGTCTTCGAGTTTGTTGTCAGAAAGATCTAGTTCTGACACATGAGCGCAGAAGGCAGCAATCTCTGTTTCATCCCCTGCACAGGTGATTCCACAGCTGTTCAACACCAGGACACTTGGGAGGTTGAGGCGATCTGAATCACAGGGGAAACAAAACACTTTTTATGTCAGCCTAATTCTTGTCTACATACGTTCAGCACCCAGGAAGCATCGGACCTGAGAATTCTGAATTCTAAGTGGAGACAGCCAAGTACGAATCAGTCAATAGTTTGGTTCAAAAATTAACCAGGAGATGTGAAGTCCCGGAGCAGCATCACCAAAGTCCTGGAGGCTTTACCTCCCGCAGGACTGTTTATTCATCACACGCCATCACCTTGTCACCTGAAGACCAGGTCCCTGTGGCTCATGCCTGACCACCAGTATCTTCTTGATTCTTTTCTTTTCAAAATTTAGTTCAAAAGTATCACTCTGGGGAGTTCTCTTATCTCTGTCTGGTATATATTTTCACCTTTTGCTGCCTTTTAAAATAACCTCAAACGATTAAAGTTAGTCTTTGCAAAACTACTTCTGTTCTACATGTGTCAATAAAACCACTTACTATCACTAATAAGAAGGGTGAACATGAGAAGTCAACCACTCTTTCCCTATTTGGTATAAAACAAGGGCTCACAAAGGTAATATTTATTAATGGAGGCCTCATATTACATGATTTTTCAATTTAGTACTTATCAGTATCAAATTTTTTAGAATGGGAATGGATCCTGAAAAAAATGACTAAGTAAGAAGTGCACTTCTCTCTGTCATTTCAGTTTATATGGAGCAACAAGAGAGTTGTACTGAGAAATAACAAATGCTCGGTGACCTTTGGACACAGGAACCAAAACACTATTCAATAATAATCTCCCATAATTACAAAGAACTAATGCTATGAACTGTTAATTACAACATTAAGCTAAAACACAACCTGCACACTTCTAGTTGGAGATCTTTGCTCGCATCATAACCCCTCTTCTGGAATGTATCTCCTCTAACTAAACTCTACATTCCTGAAGGCTTAGTTCAAGTCTCACACCTTTGAACCCTTTTCTGATCTTACTCTCTTCTAAACTTCTTCCCCAATCACCGTGCCATTCACTGGGATCAGCGTAAACTACCTCATGCTGTATTTTTCTAAATGGGGCTATCTTGCAATCCAATCAGATTGTTGGGCTGTTGAGGGCACAGTACAGTTTTACAGTATCTTGTACCCTCCAAGTTCCTTGAAAGAATATGTATTTGAAATGTTATCACTCAAATATTGTTCTTGTCCTATGAATGCAACTAAAATGACTTTTGGCCAATCAGGAGCAAAACAAATCCTTCCATTTTTTTAAAAAAAACTGAAATTGTAGCAAGGGAGAAAGAATGACTCATAATTCAAAATAAAGAAAATAATTTGCAAACAAGGCAATATTGTGGTTTAATGTGCTAATTAAGCTCCAGCAAATAAATGTTTTAGGTCCCATCTTTCTTACCTTTCATAGGAGAACCCTGAGGTGTAGCTGGGACGTGGACTCCCATCCCAGGACCACGGCGGTAAGGAAAGTTTTCAGGACTGTATTTCTCACATAATACTTGCATAAAACTCCTTCCGCTAGGTTGATCCATCTTTCTTTCCTAAAATTCTACAAGAAACCAAGAAGTCATTAAGATTATTTCTCTTGTAGTATAAGAAGAATTTTTTAAGAATCAATTATTTATAAGGCACTAGACTAGGCATTGCAGAATATAAGACACAGTCACTGCTCCCAAAAATTTATACTGTGGTGAGACCTTATGACTTAAGGAAGACCATATCTAGACAAGAGACAGCAATACACTTCAGCACATGATAATTACAATGCAGATGAAAAGTCCTACATGATTTAGAGGTGGTGGCAAACATTTTCAACTCAGGGTGACAGGACTTTGGGGTGGTGTATATGGTTCACGTAGTCACTGGTGAAAAGGGCTAGACAGAGGAACTGATGAGACATCACACTAAAGAATTTGAATGAACCCTCTGATATTTGTCTCTTCTTCCATAGTAAAAGGATTTTTGATTGTATACATAGCTACTTGTATTTAGGAATGAGAATACGATTAAGTTCTAGTTGATGAAATAAATTATTCTATGGCCACTTCTAGAAATCATTCTTCAAAGAGAACCAAAGTATGCTTGTTGCCTGAGTTGTTTATTTTTGCTTTTATTGTCTTTGCCCAAGATATATCCCCCCCAAAATTGCTAAGATCAATATCAAACAGTTTACTGCCTAAATTTTCTTGTAGGAGTTTTATGGTTTCAGGTTTTACATTTAAGGCTCTACTAGGTTTTGAGTTTATTTTTGTATATGGTGTAAGAAAGTGGTGCAATTTCATTGTTTTGCATGTCCAGTTTTCCCAACACCATTTATTGAGAAGACTGTCTTTACAACAATGTATATTCTTGCCTTCTTTGCTGTAGATTAATTGAGCATTTAGGCATGGGTTTATTTCTGGGCTCTCTCTTCTGCTCCTTGATCTATGTGTCTGTTCTTGTGCCAGTACAAACATTTGTGCACTTACTGAATCAAAGTTTTATCTGCAGAATTTACCAGTTTAGACTATGGAACACATTTCATAATATCACAAGTCACCTGGAGAATACAGGGCTGCCCCCTGTCAGGATCCTCATTTGGGAGCTTAAGGTTAGTTTTTAGTTCAAGACAGTTTGTTCTTTCTATCAGTGTCCTCTATCCCAGCACTGATTGTGTCAAAACTGAACTGCTCTGCATTCATCTAGGCCTTCAGGAAACTTCAGGCCGTAAGATTCTTTTTCTAATGTAAATTTATCACAAGTAACAGACAATATAGAGCAGGTGCTGTCATTAGTTACAGCACCATAGCTTTTATTAAAGATCTGTCTCAAGTAAATGCCAAGAAAATTTTAGAAATGTTTTTTAAAAAAAAGAAAAAAAAGAAATGTTTAAAAAAAAAGTCAAAGCAGCACCCTAGCCGGTTTGGCTCAGTGACTAGAGTGCAGGCCCACAGACAGAAGGGTCCTGGGTCCATTCTGGCCGGGCACACACCTTGGTTAAGGCCCCAGTCGGTCAGTGTGTGCAAGAAGCAACCAACTGATGTGTCAACCTCACATTGATGTTCCTCCCTCTCCCCCTCCCTCTCTCCCTCTCCCCCTCCCCCTCCCTCTCCCTCTCCATCTTCCCTCCCTCGCCCTCTCTCCCTATCCCACTCTCTCTGAAAAGCAATGGAAAAAATATCCTCAAGATGAGGATTAAAAAGAAAAAAGGTCACAGAAATTACACTGCTGTCTTCCACGCAACTGGCAGCTCAAAAAGAATGGCGAGTGTGGGGAGGGCGGGGAGCTGTCGGTGTCAAAACAAGTCACTGAGTTAGCATCTTTTACCTGGAAGCTTCAGCACCACTTAAATTCAAACCTATGCAATAGCAATAATCATACACAATTTGAATGAGGCAAACTGAGGGATGGTAATATTAAAGACACATTCAAGTCAAAATAAGTCCGAGTAAGCGAGTAATCATGGGAACACAGGAAAGTTATTTCTCATGGCCCCAGGCTTTAATAACTCTTCCAGACAGGCTGGGGATTTTTTCCTTCTTTTTTCCCACCCTAAAGGCTTAAAAGCAATGCCAGGCGCCTTCATTGGTCATTTTCCAGGATACTCTATTGAAAAAGCGTTCCAGGAATGTAGATAGCATACACATTAATATGTGGGTTCTGAATTAGAATGCTAAGATTGCAAAATGAATCAGTAACATAAATCTACTCAAAATCTGTTGAGGGAGTTTGAGGAGGAACAGTAGGTGGGAAAGGAAAATTGAAAACCAAACAGATTGAAAAATGAGGAAATGCAGGATGCAAAAAGATCTTTAAGTGGAGCTTTTGTAAGGTTTTGGGGGGTGGGGGGGAAATCTATGCCTTTCTGGGGGGAAACCAGGTGTCAAATTACATCTGACTATGTCTCCTTGGCATAGCGCTAATGCCTTTGTGAAAGTGGCCCACAGCGCGCTCAGGCGGGCGGGCAGGGCCTGGGCGATGCTGCTTGGTTCCATCATCACGTTGGGGAGCGCGCCTGTCAAAAGTTCAACTCCTTTGGGCCTCAAGTCCTGACTATACTATGCTCTTGTAAAGTGCTGGACAATGTCACTATAAAGTGCAAGTTGGTGGATAAGGTGTTCAGTATACTTTTGCCAAATAGATAATATCAGAACAGAAATAGGCCCCGTCCAGCATGAAGCAAAAGCTTCACTGTGCTGTGTGTGGAGGGCTGAGAGAGCACCTCAGGCCTGCAGTGTCACTGCCTTTGCGAGACAAGTTAGATGTGTTAATACATGTTAGCCAAACATTTCATCCAAATTACCCAAACTATGTCCAAACTACTGTGACTCTGGAACCATAATGGCTCCAAGAGGCAGAGGTGACAAAGCCATAAATACACCTGAGGGTGCATGCGAGCTTCCAGGCTTCCTACTACCTCTTCCTATGGAGATGAACTGAGAGGCCTGGTGCTTCCTGCAGCAGGAAGCCAATCCCACAGGATCCAACTGGAATAATAAATAGTTGGAAACTGATTTACAGTTCTAAAAAATAAACTGCAATAATTCAAAATATGCATTAGTTTAGGGGGAGGCTAAATCTCCAATAAGAGTTTTCATAGCATAAAAAGAGTGGAGGAGACACTCTCTGGTTGTTTAAAACTATTTCCAGCGCAGCCGGTGCAGCTCAGTGGTTGAGCACCGACCTAGGACCCAGGAGGTCACGGTTTGATTCTCGGTCAGGGCACATACCCAGGTTTTGGGCTCTATCTCCAGCGGGGGGCATGCAGAAGGCAGCCGATCAATGACTCTCTCATCATTGATGTTTCTATCTCTCTCTCTCCCTCTCCCTCTCCCTTCCCCTCTCTGAAATCAATAAAAACATATTTAAAAAAAAATAAAACTACTTTCAGTCATTTGACATGGACCCACTTATACACAACTAACCAATCTCATCATTCATCAGAGAAGGACAGAAAAAAACTACGCTCTAAAAGCCACCTGCCCATGCCCTAGCCGGTTTGGTTCAGTGGTTAGAGTGTCAGCCTGCTGTGGAATGAAGGGTCCTGACTTTGACTCTGGTGAAGGGCGCGTACCTCTGTTGCAGGCTCAATCCTAGAGCTCGTCAGGACAAGTGTGGGAAGCAACCAATCAATGTGTCTCTCTCACACTGATCTCTCTCTCCCCCTTCCACTCTCTCTGAAAAGCAATGGAAAAAATATCCTTGGGTGAGGATTGAAAAATAAAATAATAAAATAAAATAAAAGCCACCTGCCCATATTTTGGTATCAAATATTTGAAGAAAAAAAACAAAAAAACTTAGGTTAAACATTTTGGATGAAGGCTCTACAATTTTATGTTTAGGTCCCTTTGGTCAGATGACATTTCATTCTAGTCATTTTCCTCCACTTAGGTGTCTATTTCCTTTACAAGACAATCTAAGAGTAAAAATCTCTTTACCACTTGTTTAACAAAATGGAGTGAATATATTTAGTTAATTTTATCATCTCTTTTGTGCACCTTATCATTTTTCCCATTCATGTATCATAAAATGAATGTCCTCACAAAGCTTAAAGTCTTATTTAGTCTGTTCAACAAACAGGAAGCAGACAGTGCATCTGTGTCAAACACTGTGGGGAGCACTAAAGAAGTGAGAGTGAGAAAACCCGAGCTCTGCCCTCAGGACCGCCACAACCTACACGAAAACAGGGGCATCACACACGCCTGAAAGAAGCCTCACAGAAACCATGAATTCAGACACAAGAAGTGATGAACCTTTGGAAGAATGATCAAGGAAGTAGGAGGTGAAGCTTGAGCCATTCTGAAAGGTGATTAAGATTAGGTTAACTGGGTGGAGAAGAGCATTTCATGCACAGGAAATAACAGAATGTGAACAGGCGCAAGGGACATAAAACACTGTCTAGTCAGCAGTATTGCTAAAATGTAAAATACGTGTTGGGGAAGCAAGGCAGGCAGGATATTTTGCTGCAGGGTGGGTAGAAGACTCAGCTTATTGCTCAGATTCAACTTTATCCTTTAGAGATAACAGTAAGAAATTTTTTGATAGATCACTGTGAATAGTTGCAAGGAGGGGGTTACCAGTCTTCATGCAGAATATCAAGAGTCAAATGGTGAGAATTTCAAACCCCATGGGCAATTAGGAGTTTATTCATTTTGGGGGCACATTTTCAGTACAGACAAGTAGATAGAAACTGCATATGCAGTGAAGGAAATAAGTGAAGACGGGGCATGGACCAGGCCTCCGAGAAGTTTAGATGAGAGCAGAAGAGATGGGAAAACTGATGAGGAAAAACCAAGTGTCCACAGACAGAGTTTTTATAGCTTATTCTCTTTTTTAAAAGGATAAAAGATAAATTTGTAATCTGAGTTTTTCAGGGGGGGAGGTCAATAAAAACAAAATAAGTTTGTGAGGGAAAATCTCCCAGAGGTCATCAAAGAATCCTTTAAGATTATTAGCTTTCTCAACTTTTCCAAGTATTTTTTTATTATGTTTTACGCCCATTTAACTTTTGCTTTGTTGGTTTTTAACCCAGAACAGCTTCCTTTTTTGAAAGATCCCACTACACCCAAACCATGCCAGTGTCTTGGACATTTTAGGTAGCTGGGACTTCTATTTATTTTCCAAATCTTTCTGATCCTCAGCATAAGTATATCCCAATAAAACATAATTACTCTAGGAAAGGATATGTACGTGTTATATATTTTTCCTTCCATAAAAGATTAAGTAAATTAATTAATAAAGGTATATGAAATAAGCTTTCTCTAGCCCTGACTGGGTGGCTTGGTTGGTTGGAGCACCGTCCCATATACCAAAAAGATTGCGGGTTCCATTCCCAGTCAGGGCACTACCTAGGTTGCAGGTTCGATCCCTGGTCAGGTATGTATGGGAGGCAACCGATCAACGTTTCTCTCTGACATCTCAGTTTCTCTCTCTCTCTCCTCCCCTTCCTCTCTTGCTAAAAAATCAACAAAACATATCCTTGGGTGAAGATTTTTTTAAAAAAAGCTTTTTTCTAAATAACTGCTTTAAAAATACAAGTGATAACACTTTCTGAATTTTTTAAAT